GTACTACTGACCCGCACGGCTCGCGGTGTGCAACGTGGCTGGACTTTGAGGACGTGCGCGATGAAATAAGCCAGTCATAGAAAGACAAACCCTCTGGGAGTCCAGCCGTATGAGGTGTCTATAGTCAAATTCATAGAAACGGGGTAGAATGGTGGTTGCCAGGGGCTGGAGCGGGAGAATGGGAGCTAATGGGGAGCTTCAGATTTGTAAGCCAGGGAATGCCTGCAGCCACCAGAAACTGTTAGGGGCAGGCAGTGAAGTGTCCCCTAGTCTCTAAGGGGAGCAGAACCAGCTGGCACTCTGATGCGGACTTCTGACCTCCACGGTGGCGCGTGGACACACTTCCGTGGTTTTTAATGTGTCATGCAGCCACGGGAAACCAATACAGAGAGTGGTTAGAGGCAGGGTGGGGCACAATAGAGTGGCCAAGGACGGCTCGGAGAAGGTGCCATGTGAGAGAACCCCTTTCTTAACGGACAGGTCACACATACCTAAAGGAAGAGTAAGAGGCCCAAGGCTGGCCTGTGTCTGGTGAGTTGCAGAAGGGAGGGGAGACTGGTCACAAGAAGGGCGGGTGGGCCTTAGGTCCCTTAACGACCTCGGCAAACAGGTGGGCCTTTTGAGTAAGGAATGACTTGATCAGACTGATTTAAAAATGATCCTGTCCTGCCTGAACATGGTCACTGTAAATCATGAGGATCAGCAATGGGTACAGAATGTTTTTGTAAATAATGTTCAATCAGAATCAGGTATTTCGTCCTTGCAGTTTACAGGAAATTGAGAAGTTAGAGGACACCATGAGGAAACAAGGCAGATCCAGAACATGGGACAACTGGCTTCGACTTTTCAAAAACTAAAGAGGGAGAAAGTGGAGGGAGTGTCCTCATTTAAAGGAGACTAAAGATGCATAATCTCAAATGAGCCGTGAGCCTCGGCTGGACCTTGCTGTGGTAGAATGTCTGCAGAGACTGGCGCCAGCGATGTCCCTGCCCCGTTCCACATGCTCTTCTCGCAGAAGGGTGGGACCCATTTCCCTCCACTGGGATCTGGACGGGCCGCGTGGCTCTGGGGCCTGGGCCTTAAGGCTTCCATTTTCAGTCTCTTGGAAGCCAGTTGACACGGGGTCCGGCACACCCTACTGACCTGCCCGTCATTGGAATGAAGCCATCTGGACCCTCGTCAGAAGAGCTGCCCCAGTCAAGACCAAGAGCACGAAGCCCAGCTGTCCCCACCAAAACCACCCTGTGCAGTTATGCAACTGGAAAAAAGGGTGCTCCCTCTGAACTGGCAGAGAAAGGTTTCCAGGATCGATTGCTAGGTTTAAAAGCAAGTTGCAGGAGAGTACACAGTCAGCTGTCTTTGTACTTGCATGAGAAACACTGGAAGACTGCGTAAGACTAACAGCTGGTTACTTACAGGTAACGTGAATATTCAGCCAATATGCAGCAGTGTGACAGCACTGCTTAAAACAGTGATTCTTCTGTCCTAGCGGGCAACGGCCACTCTCTGAGCCCTGAATTCCCTCCCCACTCTGTTCTCACGGTTGATACTGGGTTGCCTCGTGAGCCAACGAATGAAGAGTTATTCCTGGCAGGAAACCGGTTTGGCAGGCCAGCAGATAATGAGGTGAGTGGTAAAGGTAGGAAGGAGACTTTGCAAACTAGATCTTTTAACATCTTTATTTTGGAACCATGTGACTGTTACCTACTTAAAATAAAAATTTAAAGTTAAAGAAGTCCCTATCACAGTACCGTTTTATGGATTTTAAACCGTCAATTGCTGTCTTGTTGGCTTACCCCAAAATGTCCGCTCCATGACAATATAGGTCCTGCCTGTCATGTTCACTTCTGTGTCCCCGTTACCAAGAACCAAATTGGTATGAATATTTGGTCAATGAACACAGATGTATACTTTGATGAAAAAAGATACTGAGCAAAAGCCATGGGATGCAGAGAAGGCAGTGCTCGAGAGAATTTCTAGTTGTAAATGTCTCCATTTAAAAAGAGATCAAATCAATAACCTAACTATATTTTGAGAAACAAAGAAAATTTTTTAAAAAGCAACCAAACTCAAAGCTAGCAGATGAAAGGAACTTACAAAAATTAGAGATAAAACAATAGAAAAACAAGTCAATGAAAGTAAAAGTCAGTTTTCTGAAAAGATCATCAAACTGACAAGCTTTTGGCTAGACTGACAAAAAGACATAAATCACTAAAATCAGAAATGAAAGAATAGTATTGACCCTACAGAAAAATGATAAGAAAATACTATTAACATTTACACACCAATCAATCAGATAACTTAGATCGAATGGACAAATTCCTAGAAACACAGAAATAACCCAAAGTAACAAAAACCAAAACTGGTATGGAATGAACGGCTTCCCCAGTGTCTTCTACCAAACATTTGAAGAATTAACACCAACCCTACTTCAGCTCTTCCAACAAACTGAAGAGAGAACACTTCCTAACTCATTCTGTGAGGCCAGCACTAAACTGACACTAAAGCCAGACAAAAACGTCACAAGAAAAGGAAATTAGACCAATATCCCTTATAAATATAGATGCAAATGTCCTCGACAAAATACCAGTAAACCACACCCAACAGCATATTTAGACGATTATCATGACTGAGTGGGATTATTCCCACAAATGCAAGCATGCTTCAACATAAGAAAATCAGCATAATGCACATTAACTGAACGGGGAAAAAACACACGATTACCTCAACTAATGCAGAAAAGGCACTTAAAACCCAGCCCCCTTTCATCATCAAAAAACTCAGAAAACTAGGAATAGAAAGGAACTTCCTCAACATGATAAAAGACATCTATGAAAATCCCACAGCAAACATACTCAATGGTGAAAGGCTGAAAAGTTTTCCCAAGGTCAGGAACAAGATGAGAATGTCCCTCTCACCGCTTCTACTCAACATAGTACTGCAGGGTCTAACCAGAGCAATTGGGCAAGGGGGAAAAAAACAAGACATCCAAACCGGAAGAAAAACTTGCTCTGTTTATAGATGACATGATCTCATAATATAGAAAATTCCAAAGAATCCAAAAGCTATTAGAGCTAATAAATGAATTTGGTGAAGTTGCAGGGCACAAGACCAATACACAACAAACAAAAGAGAAAATTAAGCGAGCAATTCCACTTACAAATGCATCCAAAAAAAAAAAAGACCCTAGAAATAATTTAACCAAGGTAAAAGACTGGTACACTTGTAAAACTATAAAAAATCTAAAAACTAAACTAAAAACTAAAACTATAAAAAAACTACATAAAAACTAAACTTGTAAAAGACTTGTAAAACTATAAAATAATTTAACCAAGGTAAAAGACTTGTACACTTAAGACTATAAAACATTGCTTAAAGATATTAAAGAAGATACAAATAAATGGAAAGACACCCCATGTTCATGGACTGGAAAACTTAATGTTGTTAAGATGTAAATATTACCCAAAGTGATCTATGGATTTGATGAAATCCCTACCAAAATTCCTAGAGCCTTCATAAACTATATAAATGTCTAACCAATAATAAATTTTTTAAAAAAGGGAAAAATTCCTAGAGCCTTTTTTTTTTTTGTAAAAGTGGAAAAGCCAAACCTTAATTTATATGAAATTGCAAGGGGATTCACATAGCCAAAACAATCCTGAAAAAGAAAAAGTTGGAGAACTCACAAATACTTCTGGATTTCAAACTTACTACAAAGCTTCAGTAATGAAAACAGTATACTACTGGCATAAAAATAGCATACAGACCAATGGAATAGAATTGAGATTCCAGAAATAAACCCACTAAACATAGTCAACTTATTTTCAAAAAGGGTGTCAAGTCCATTCAATGCGGAAAGAACCACCTCTTTGGGATAGCTGGAGTTCCACATGCAAAAAGATGACATTAGACCCCTACCGCACATTATATACAAAAATAAACTCAAAATGGATAAACAATCTAAATATAAAAGCTAAAACCATAAAACTCTTAGAAGAAACATAGAGGTAAATCTTTATGATCTCAGATTTGGCAATGGAATCTTAGATATGACATGAGCAATAAGAAAAATCATGGATAAAATGGACATCAAAATTAACGATTTCTGTTTATCAAAGGACATTATAAAGAAAGTGAAAAGACAACCTAGAAAATGGGAAATATTTGCAAATCATATATCTGGTAAGGGATTAACATCCAGAATATATAAAGGATTCCTCTAACTCAACAACGAAACCCAATTAAAAAAAAAAAAAGACTTTTCTCCAAAGAAGATATACAAATGGCCAATAAGCAAATGAAAGATTCTTGACATCATTAGTCATTAAGGAATAAAAATCAAGACCAAAATGAGTTCACCTCACACCTACTAGGATGTCTTTAATAAAAATGTTAAAAGAAACTAAGTATTGAGGAGAATGTGGAGAAATTGGAACCCTTGTGCATTGCTGGTGGGAATGGTACATGTGAGATAACAGAAAATATGCATATTGGTCTCTGCCCCTGGTTCTTACTATATGACCCACCAATCCTACTCCTGGGTTTTATAAAAATTATAAACAAGTACTCAACAGATACTTGTAAGCCAACGATTACTGTAGCATTATTCACAATAGCCGAAAGGTGGAAATGACCTAAAGGTCTGTCAACTGAAGAATGGATAGAAGGTGTAGAAAATCCATACAATGGGTCTGTTCAGCCATAAAAAGTTTCTCCCAGGTGCTAAGTAAAATAAATGACACATAAAAGGACAAATACTGGATGAATTCACTTGTATGAGGTACCCAGAGTTTTCAAATTTATAGAAATAAAGCATACTAGAGGTTACCAAAGGAGAAGGGAGAGGAATGGGAAGTTACTGCTTAATACTTAGCTTGTTTGGAGTGGTGAAGTTTTGGAAATGGTGGTGATAGCTGTACAACACTGTGAATGTGATTCATGCCACTAAACTGTACACTTTAAAAAGACAAAATTTTTCTTCTATATATTTTACCAAACAAAAAAGGAAAAAAACATAATGAAGTTGTTCATCTTCTCCCACTCTACAGATTCTTATCCCACATCAGCCCAACTTGGTTCTTACAAGCATTTATATAGTACTCTCCTTACAAAAACAAAAGAAAAACATCTCTTACTTTGCCTTTCCCTTAATTTAGAAATAGTTCTAAGTCTATAGCACATCAGTGAGTGGGGGGACACAGCCCAGTTACTTGTGTCCTCTATGCAGCTACCATTGTCAGGTGTCCGCCATTGACGCCCATATCCTCTGCTGTGGCAAGGGCACAGTCCTCGTCTTCCAGTTGGTGGGACACAGAACAGCTCAGGGCAGCACTTTCCTAATATCAGTCACTTGGATGCCACCTTCCCATACTAAATCTAGGTAATCTAGTCTTTCAGTAAAACCAGTTATTACAAAGAAAACCATCACTGTCAAGAGGAAAACCATTATCACTTGCCATAAAACATCGACGATAAACTGTCACAAATCAGGAAGACAAAGCAGTTTAAGTTCTAGCTTTATCCCACTGCCCACATGAGTCTGAGGTCTGATCTGTTAAGAAGGAAAAGAAGAAAAAGTGGAGTTGAAGACACATGAACATGAAGCGAGACTCTTCCTGGCCGGAATGAGACCTAAGAACTGCAAGGGACTAAGTTTCTCAGTATGCGACTGACGACAATTTGCCGTATTTCGTCAATTTTGAGAGGTATTTTTTTTTTTTCACATTTTGAAACAGGCCTGCATCTTATGATCCAGGCGTCCTAGTAACAGCATTTTTTTTTTTTGCTTTCTTAGCAGTAAAAATAACTTCTTCAAGTGAGTGCCGAGCGCACCGGCTGAAACGGCGCGATAAGCCGGCGGCAGGCCTCGGCGCCCCACAGCGATGCCGCTGCCGGGCTGGGAAACCCTGGTGCCCGCCACGGCTCCGCGCACACCGGGACGCGCCGGGGCCCCCTGCGTCCCACTCTGCCGCCCACTGCCCGCGGCGTCTCGGGCGCGCGCCGCTGCCCTAGGTCCCTCTCCAGGAGGCCAGGCGCTCCCTCAGAGGCCTCCCGACAGCCGCCCGCAGGAGGCCCCGCAGGCCCCGCGCAGACCCCTCGGCGGACGCGGCGCGGCTCTGTGACGTCACGACCCCGCCCACGCGACAGGAGACTTCCTCCGGGGCGGGGCTGCGTGCTGACGCCGCACGCCGGGGCGGGACCCAGAGTTTGGTGCCCCGGAGTGGGGTGTCGGCGCCTCAGTCGGGTGGAGCTGAGCCGGAGACAGGTAAGCGCGCGCTGCCGCCGGCCCGGCTCGGAATGGAGGCTCCGCTCCCATCGGGAAGGGGACGAGAGTCTCGGCAGAGGGCGAGGCCGGCACGTCCTCGTCGTCGCCGACCCCGCGGTGACAGGGAGTGAAGCTGGATGGAGTGGAACTGACCGGGGGAGGTGGGCGGGACGGGGGTCTGACGG